AACTAGAAATAATTTAGATAAATCTTAACTCCGGGCAACAAATGTGCGCCTCCCCCTTCCTCTTGTTTCTAAGTATTTAATGAAAAGTATGATTTGTAGTGTGGTGGATTTCTGTGTGTATTGCATGATTTATTTTTTGATTTCTCCTTGTTGGGGAGACTTCAAGGTGATAATGGAGAACTTAATCGGCTCTATACCAAACGTCATTAAATTTTTTATAAGAAGGAAGGGGTGTTGTAATGCTTTATTATCTGTTCAAGAATTATATATGGCTTATGAATTTTTATTTGGAGTTTGACTAGGAATTTACATGATTGGGGAGTTTCCCGTTCTATTAGCAGATTTTGTCCATTCTTTTAATTGGTCAGCTGGTCCTTTATTTTTTTGTAGAACTGGGATGAAGGTCAATGACATACAATGTCTGTCCTCAAAGAGCTTGCAGTTTGTGTTTCACTTGATGGTTAAGTGTCCGGGTCGGCTCACTGAAAGATACGAAGTATGGTACGAATTCATCCATTTATTAATTCAACCAATTCTTATTTTGTCAAACATGATGTGTTAGGCATTTAGACTGGGCAGGCATTGGATTCATAATGGCAAACTGCTCCTACAGAATTTACAACCTAGTGGGAAAGGGACAGACATACTGATGAATCAATCACATGGATAAAAATATGATTACATATTAGAATCTGTCCTCTGAAGGGAAATAATACAGATACATAAATGCATATAAATAAGGAAGCTAACCCACTTGAAGCTGGTGAAATTATGCTATGGTGACAGTTACCTGTCCTGTTGTGTGGTTTTCCCTGCAGTGCTTGGCTTCTGTAGGGCAGGCACTGAGAAAGCAGATAACTTTTGAGTTGAAATGTTAAGAAAAGATCAAGGCACAGGGAGTGTAGGGCATTGGAAAGAGTGTTATTGAAAGGATGAGCTCTGGGGGGAAAAAGAAAAGCATTCTGGTTAAAATGGGACAGGGGGGCTAAAGAAAGCATTGGGACAGACTGAGCAGCCAATGGAGTAGCAGTGCCACTGTGATAAACAGACTCAGAGCTAGCCTCAGAATGATATAGTTCAATGTTTCAATAGAACGAATCTTCATAGGTCTGACTCATGATGCCAAGACACATCTCCTGATGCCACTCTCAGATGAAAGGGCTTGTGACTCAGAGCAGAGGCTCTGGCCAGACTGGGACTGGGGTGATCTGAAGAGCCATCAGTGCCTGTTAGGGATTTCTGATACTCCATGTGACTCCTAGTACCTGAGGAATGTGACATTTCTTAGTCCTTGTGTCACAGTGAGGTCATCAAGCTGTTAAGTAAAGCCATCTGTTTTAAGGCATCCTCCCTATATGTTTTGCAGCATCAAGGAAACTTGATCTTCAGTGGATAATGACAATACTTTCTTTCACCTCATTCATTTATTTCTTAAACTCTCAGTGATGTATATAATTTGGAAAGTAGTTTAAGACTCTGTAGATTTGTAAGCAAACAGTGACCAACCAACAAAACCAGACAATTTGCTAATATTTGGATCTGGTGTCAGACACAAGGCTCTGGGGGTGGACCTCTGGTATGAAGATGCTGTAAGGTGGTGCCATCCTCCCATATTATATAGAACAAATACTTTCCTTCCTCTCTAGTTTTCCCAACACCCACTTTTTTCTCCAGTAGCTGGGGCGCACTTCTAGTAATGGAACCTTCATCCCCTCATGGCTGGTTTACAGCAGCATCTTCTTAGTTGGTCTCCTTCCTTTAGGACTTCCTGCCTCCTTTTTACCCTGCACTTAACTGCCCCGTTAACTAAGCTTTAAATTCTTGTTTCCTTCTGTTAACTCATTGTTCAAAGAATAGCAGCTCACCCTTCCCTCATGACATTGAGGTAGAAATAAATTCATCTGCGTCTTAACGTGTGAGACATTGGACAAGTCAGGTAATTTTCCTGGGACTTAGTTTCTTCACGCATCTGGAAACAAAAATGTGGCTATTGAACTAGATGGAAAAGCTCTTAGAGATTTGGAGTATGTGGTTGAGCTGGAGTTCCCTTCCAATCCTGAAATTCTGTTACTGTGTTCCCCAGCAGGTTGTTATTCCAATTTTGGTAGCACAGCCCTTGAGCCTCAGGATCCTCAAATGTCAAGTTGGGGTGATCTGTGATCTGCACCTATTCTGAGGGTTGTTTGAAGATTTAATTCCGTTAATGTTGCCCAGCCCTGCCACCTGGCACACCCATGCGGGTTCCTTCCCCCACCCCACCACTGTAGGACCACTACCCCACCGAGCCCAGCATTGCCTTTTGCTGATCATGTTGTGGCAGCAAGTCAAGCGATTTGCAATCCTCCATAGGAACACTTTCCTATTTCCAGCTCCTGTGGTTTTTGTTATTTTTTCTGTTTGGTTTTTAATATCTTACCCTTTCTTCTTTACCAATTCAAGCTGAAAAACTGGCCTCAGGCCCCCTTAAAAAAATCTCTAAAGTTTTTGACCTTCTAACTTTGACCTTCTAGGACTCTAAGATCAAAGGGATATCTATCTATCTATCTATCTATCTATCTATCTATCTATCTATCTATCTATCTAT